CCCAGATCCTACGAGATCACCCCTCGCATTCGGGCCTGGCGCCAGACACTTGAGCGGTGCCGGAGTGCAGCCCAGGTGTGCTTGTGCCTGGGCCAGCTGGAGAGGTCCATTGCCTGGGAGAAGTCCGTCAACAAAGTGGTAAGAGGCTGGGAGAGCCTGGGAAGGCTGAGGGGGCAGCCAGCTCATGGGGGGAGTGGGGTCACCGACAGGCAGAGGCTTGAGGGCTCACCTTGCCTCCTCATACCCTTGGTCTAGACCTGTCTCGTCTGCCGGAAGGGTGACAACGATGAGTTTCTTCTGCTTTGTGATGGATGTGATCGTGGCTGCCACATTTACTGCCATCGGCCCAAGATGGAGGCTGTCCCAGAAGGAGATTGGTTCTGTGCCGTATGTTTGGCCCAGGTAAGGCTTCTGCTTTCTCATTCCCACTCCCAAGCAGAAGTCAGAGGTGTTCTTTCTCATCCCATTTGTCACCAATCCTGCAGATAGCAGCACTTCCTACCATGCCTCAGTGTCCCCTTGGAAAGAGCTCCAGGTTAGGTGCTGGGAGACCTGGATTCTGGTCCCTCTTGGAACAAGTCACTTAAATTCTGTAGCCTCGCTTGCTTTCTTCTGTACAGGGGGAATGATTGTATTTTCCCTTTTACCTACCTTATTGGACTATGTGAGTAGATGCACATGCTGGCTGATGCGTGGAAGTGTTTTGAAGCCTCAGTCACACTTAGACAAATAGGGATGGTAACGAACTGGAAGGCAAGCAGAGTACATCTCCAGCTGTTACTGATCTCACCCTTTTCCCATCCTCAGCAGGTAGAGGGAGGATTCACTCAGAAGCCTGGTTTCCCGAAACGAGGCCAGAAGCGGAAAAGCAGTTACGAGCTGAACTTCGCGGAGGGTGATGGCCGCCGACGCCGGGTACTGTCCAGGGGCCGAGAGAGCCCAGCAGTGCCTCGGTACTCAGAAGAAGGGCTGTCCCCCGCCAAGCGGCGGCGCTTCTCCATGCGGAACCACCACAGTGATCTCACATTTTGCGAGTGAGTCGAATGAATTCTGGGCACAACTGGCTCCACCTTTGCCGTAGTAAGGACTAGGAGGGGTCAGTGGATTTGCGTCCCGAGATGCAGCCATCCCTGTCCCTCTAATGACAGGATTATCTTGATGGAGATGGAGTCCCATGACGCAGCTTGGCCATTCCTGGAGCCCGTGAACCCACGTTTGGTGAGCGGGTACCGGCGCATCATCAAAAACCCTATGGATTTTTCCACCATGCGGGAGCGGCTGCTCCGGGGAGGGTAGGTGGACATCAGCATGTCTCCTGGCTATTGTGTTACTCCCGTGACTCCTCCGGGCTCACAGCTCTGCCTCCCCCTCTGCCCAGGTATACCAGCTCAGAGGAGTTTGCAGCGGATGCGCTCCTGGTCTTTGACAACTGCCAGACCTTCAATGAGGATGACTCTGAAGTGGGCAAGGCTGGGCACATCATGCGCCGCTTCTTCGAGAGCCGCTGGGAGGAGTTTTATCAGGGAAAACAGGCCAATCTGTGAGGCAAGGGAGGTGGGGAGTCACCTCGTGGCATCTCCCCCTGCCCTCCAAACAAAAACCCTGCCATTCTCACCTGCTGATGCTGCCCTGGGTCCAGACTCAAGTCAGAGATCTCAGCCTGATTTTTGACCTTACCCTTGGCAGCGCCCTACATCCTCTTACCCCTACCTGCACCCCTTTTTCCCTTTCCTCTTCTTGCTCCTCAAATAAGAGGGGCAGAGATGAGGTCCTTCTGGACTGAAAGCCAAAAAAAGAAAGAAAGAAAGAATTTTTCCTTTCTGTTTTATTTCCTAATTTAAAATGAGGAGGAGGAAGGAAGTCCCTGCTTCCTCCTCCCACCTTCTTCTCCTTCCCTGTACGTGCCCCAGCATTCTGGGGCTATTTAACAATAGCAATAGTTCTAGTGAATGTGTGAAACCGAAAAACACTCTGTACTGTGTGTGGACCCGCAGTGACGGCCAGTAAAGTGGACTTAACTCCCAAGTGTGTCGAGCCGGACACCGGGCCCTGAACATGCTGCTTCCATGTTCAGTCCCTTCCCTGCTTCCCACTTTCTCAATTTTTCCTTTTCCCTCCTCTCCCTACTTTTAAGATTTTCTCTCATCCAATAATGTAAAGCTATCGTGTACGGGTTCCTCTACCCTTTTCTCTCCCCCCAAATCTTTTTTCCCCTCAAAGGAAATAGAAATTCAGAGGTCCCTGTCTTTCTCTCTGTCCTCATCGTCCTGCCAATAGCTACCCCCTCTGTAATGTTGGATACTCCTCACATGCTGAGTTTCTAGCCTTTTTTTGAAACTCAGTAGCTGGGGAGAGGGCAGGGAGGCACCCTGGACCCTGGGCCTTCCAGCCTCCTTCCCCACCTCTTACCCAAACCTCCCTCTTGGGAACTCCTCAGGGACAACTACTGCTGAGTTTGGGCGCACTCCCAAGATGGAGGCCAGGTAGCAATCAGCTGGCCTCAGAGAGAGGTGTGTGTGCGTGTGTGTGTGTGTCTGTGTGTGTGTGTGTGTGTGTCTGTGGGGGGGAGGGAGGATGCTGTGATTGTGCCCCTGTGCTGTTTGATGGCATCCAGTTTCCCCAAGTATCTTTTTGTTCCCACCTTCCCTAGTGTTTCAAACCATCACATTTTTGTCCTTGGGAAACCACAGGAGCAGTTTTTCTGGGTACAAGGCTCTGTCTCCTCTCTCCCAGGCATTTCTGTTCCAGCCTCTTCAAACTGTGCAATCTTTCAGCAGGAACTCCCTCTCCTTTCAATAGCTTTGAGTCTTAAGCTTTTGTAGGGAGAGGGGTAGAACTGGATCTTTCCCTAATCCCATGAGCTTCTGTGGGTTTAGTTGTGCTTTTCTTTCCTTATCTACTTCATACCCGGGACCCCTTCCCCAGCAGCAGCAGAGACCCCAGAGCACAAGAGAGTAGGGAAGAGGGGTTCTGGGTCCACCACTGCCCTACATGTGACTATGCCCAAGTTAAGCCCCAGCATGTGAGAGGAAAGCTGCTAACTCCCAGCTACAGCCATGGGCCCCTGTCCCCCCTGCTTTCCTGCTCAGCAGCGCCCCTCCCATCAGAGATTACGGGTACTTGCACTGGGGAGGTGGCTGTTGGCCGGCCCAAGCAGAGAGCTGAGGCGTCCAAGAAATGTTCCATTGGTGGGGGAGGGGGCGCCAGGCGAGGTGGAGCATTCCTTGTACTTCTGGCAGCACTGGATAGCCACTGAAGGGGGTGGGGGGCGGTGTGGGGAGGTCCTGGGGCAGCCCCTCTCTTACTCCTTTATGCCCCCCTTCTCCCCCATGGCCTATTTCTAAAGTCGCCTTTTCTGTCAGATAAACCTCAAAACTTTTAATTTTATTTGAGATTTTTTTTTTTTTTTTTTGCTTTTAAAGAGGTGGATTGAAGAATATTTGAATTGACTTTATATTATGCATAAATATTTATATTTTATCTAAATAACTGCGCTGTAACAAAGTTTGTGTCAGTCAAACGTTTGGAACTGTTATAGTTGGGGGCTCTTCTTTTTTCCCCATGGCAGTTTTCCCCGGTATAAAATGTACTAGATTAATTTTATTGTTGGAAGCGAGGTGGACGGGGGAGTGAAATCTCCATGTTCCTTCTTTGTGTTCCTCTCCCAGCTCCATCTCTTTTCCCTAGGGACCAGGCACTCTTAAGATGGGGTGGAGTCCTAGCCTCAGTTTGAAGAAATTGGGGCTGAAAGGGGGGGTAGGGGTAGGGCATGATCAAAGGGGCCATTTCTCATGTTCTTTCCTCATCTTCACCGCCCCTCGAGCTAGGTGGATTTTCTCTTCTTGACAAATAAGAGTATTTGGTAGGGAAGGCAGGTTAAAAAATAATAAAACCCACCCCCTGCCCCTTTGTTTTCCCTCCCCTCTATCAGTCTGGTAACAGGAAGAAACCACACCATCAACACCAACAAGTTTCCATGTTCCTTTTACAACAAAAGGGACTTGACTTTTTATATAACCAAATGTGGTGTTTTAGTGACTTTTTGATAATGTACAGTTTTTTGTGAATTTAAATTTATTTCTTTCTATATTTTTAGGACCAATCTCATTTTTAATAAGGTTTAAAAAAGAAAAAAAAAAGGTCTAGAGAAAAAACCTCCTGTTTTTGCCATGTGATGTTCCACAAGTGCAGCTGTAGAAAAGTGCTTGTCAGTTGAAATAAAAACCACATTTGATAGAGATTCAAAAGACTCTTGTGTATTTATCTTCCCTTCAACATAGGTTCTCACACTTGCTTAAGGGGAAGACTGGGTATTAGGGCGAGGATGACTCGTCTGGTGTAGGAGATAGGTGGCAGGGGAGCAACCTGCTCCTAAACTTCCAAGGTTTGTCCCTAAACCTCCAAGCTTGGCCCTTGCCGTACAAGAGGCATCCAAGGCAGAGTTCCTGCTTATGTGGAGGGAACGGGTTCTTAGTGCTCCTGGCGCCTGAGCAAAGTGCCATTCCGGGTGCCTCCCCCTTGCCTTGTGAGACGCCACCTTGGCTTCCTAAGCTGCCACTTGTGTTCCCAGAGTAGCAGATACGGGCCCATCACCAACCTCCCAACTTCTGCCCATGGATAAAACACCAGGGGGTAGACTTACGTGTTTTATTTCAAGACAAAAGTTGAAATGAGACAAAACGGAGCTATAGCAAGTTGTAGGGAAGGAACATGAAAATAACCAAGGGTCAAAAAGGGAGAAAAACTAGAAGGGTAGATAGCACTGACATAGACATGAAAAGAGTCTAAAACTAGAAGCTTCCGGATAAAAAATGTACAAAATGTGTGCGTTTAAATATTTCCTGTTCAAGATGACAAGTGCATGCAAGAAAGCACTCACCACCCAAGAAATGTGTTGGGACAGGGACACCAATAGTGGCGTGAGGACTTTCTTTACTCAGGCTGCGAAATACCACCCTCCAGGTTGCAAGTTTTGTTTCGGTGAACCCTCAGACGACACCGGGTGCAGGGACACCAGCTTCCCTCTTCGGTACTTGCTTACCTCGCAGCTACACAGCGGCCACTGGCCAACTCTCTTAAGCCTCAAGTTCTGAGATGGGCGGGTGCCCATGGTGGTGGTCCTAGGGGTGGCTCCCAGGCATTAGTTAAGATCCTAGGCGATCATTCAGGGCCCCCACCTCCACCCCCACCCCTGGCCCCCGGCCTCCCACAGTGAGACCCAACTGAAGAGGTCACACTACTCTAGGGGGCATAATGAGCAAAAAGTCCCAAAGACGACAGTCCAGAAATAGAAATTACCAAAAGTTAAGTGCATTTGATCATGAACCCCTCCTAGCCCCCAGCTCATGACGGGAAGGAAGGAGGTAAACCAGGTGCCCGTGCCCTCGCTGAACGTGAAATTGTGAGGTAGATGTGTCACGAGGACAAAAGTTCTGGGATATGGTTGCAGTAGCTACGGCAGGGAGAAGCAGCAACAGTGATGGGCAGGAGGGCGCCTCGCTTTGTCACGAGCACATCGTGGGGAGCACTGCTACTGAGGTCAGCAGAGATCAGAAGGGTGACAGTGCCCAGGCCGGCCTTGAAGGCTGAAGGAAGACCCTCCTTTAAAAAGAAAGTGGGAAATGAAAGGTGAGGAAATATGAGGGCTCTGCTCATGCTCGGAAGGACCTAAAATGCAGGTACACAGAAATCGAGTAGTTGGTTTAAGGAGGACTCAGTGCGAGCAGGCACAAGTTGAACGCGTGGCCCTGACACCTCGGCTTGCATCACCCCCACCCTCTTCTCTGCGGCCGAGTTGAGACCTGATCACAGCCCTAAGTTCATTGCCACTGGTTAAGAAGGTCAAGTAGCCCTCCCAGGTGCAGTGCCGCTGCTCCCCCAGAAGGTGGAGCCTGTGCACAACGGAGCAGCAATGGTCCCGCCCCCAAAGACTAAACTGCCAGATCCCTGCAACATCCCGTGCCAGCTCGGCCTGTCAAGGGCCTTTCGGTGCAAAGCGACAGGCCGTACTCAGGTGGGCACCAAAGGAGCAGGGAGTGAGCGCCGCAGGCACCACCGGGGTGAACGAGCTCACTGACCAGAGAGTGCAGGAAGGAAGAGGACGAGCTGGGCTGAGGTGGCCCAACCCGGGACGAGCGGGTAGAGCAGCGAGTCCAGTCTTCACCCTCAGCGAGTGTAATGTCCTCCTACCGCCCCTACCTACGTGATCCTGCCAAGGGCCGTTGCCTCTTCAGAGCCACCGGGCTTCCGAGTCTTGGCAGCTCTTCAAATTCTTTGGTTAACCACAGTCTTAAAAAATAACATCTCTCCTTATCATCATTCCCACATCTTCCTTACCCTCCACCCACACCCTCCTCCAAAGGTCTACTCAGCTTAGGGTTTGAACATCAGCTCAGAGAGTGAAGGGAACAGTAAGAACACTGACCTGAGATGGGACAGGCAGGCTCTGAGCCTCCATCTGAGGAAGGGACATACTCTACTTGCACGGAAACAGAACACAAAGTATCTTAAGGATGTTACAAGCGTCTGTTAATGGGTGGGGGTGGGGGTGGGGGTGTGAGAGGTGACGCAGCTCCATGAAGACAACTGAGAAGACGCTAAGCACAGCGTTTAGAGAGCCCGGCCCCAGGCCCCCTACACGGCCCCTGGCACTACTGCCGCCAACAGGCTATTTCGTGAGAGAAAAAGCATCCCTCATTCCTGTCTCCCCTTTCCCCACTCCCTCACTCACCTTAGCAACTAACTGTTAGACGTGAACTAACAACTAGGGGAAAAACAGGAGCGTAACCCCAAAACCAAAAAATTCTACAGTGCCATTAACTACTACAAAAGTAACTCGAGGCTCCCCATCCCTTCCCGTGCCCAAACCTGTCCAAACCAGAAACACTCGACAGAACCCTTAGGGAGAGTCACATGAGAAGAACACACAAAAGGTAACTCCATTATTTAAAACAAAGCAAAATCCTGGCCATTTAAACATTAAAAAAAAAAAAAAAAGCAAAAACAGACAATGGAATCAAGAGTTCTGGGGGAAAAAAATAAAGTTAAAAAAAAAAGTTCTGGGAGGCAAAGGAGAGGCAACCGCCACATGAACAAGTCTCCATACCCGAAAGGTCCCCACGCCACTGGGCTGTCAGCGGCCTGCCCAGCAAGCCTCCTCCAAACTAGCAATCAGAGGAACAGGATTCTGGATTTGTTTTCTCTTCTTCTTCAAGGCCACTGACAAGAAATCTATGGTACACTTTCCTCGACTCAGGGCTGGAGACTCAGAAACAAGAGCTACTTGCCCAGCCATACCCTTCTAGAACGCGACCGGATCGGGGGCTGCTCTACAAGGGAGAAGCCCTTCTGGAGGTGGGAAGTGGCCATGAGGAAACGAAGAGTGGGAATTCTGTCCTCCACACCTGACACCCTACCCGTAGCCACCTCCCCTGCCTCCAGGACCGCACAAAAGGGCAGCCTAGGGGCAGGGAGCGCGGGACTCTCACTTCGGGGAGGGAAAGCTGGCTGCGAGCTCTCTGTCCGAGCACTGCTACCTCAGCTGCTTTTCCCTCCGTGTCCTCTCCTTCCTCTCCCGACAGCTGCCCTAGCAGACACCGGGTTCTCCATCGTCTCTCTTTGGCTTTCTGCCCGCCGGGTGAAAAGCACCTGACCTTGCGGTGCAGGGGAGCAGGACTGCCGGCGCGGGAGCGAGGGACCGGAGCGGACAGCCGCGGGACCTCACTCCCCGGACAGGGGCGAAGGCTTCCTCCTGTCCCCACGGGCACGGCGCCAGGGTGGACGGGGCCTTCCGGAGGGAAATACAGGCTTTTAAGGATGGCTGACCTTGTAAATAACGGGATGGGGTTTATTGCCCTTTTCCGTCCCAACTCCCTGTCATCCTTCCACAAGAAGGAACATTATTTTTAACGTCCTGGGTCCCTGGAAAAGGGATCCAAACAAATCAGGGCAGAGCAGGTTGCCCTGGGCAGTTACAGAGAGCTCTGTCCCTTCCCACCCCTGCACGGCGCACAACCCCCAACAGTCCCCACACCTTGACCCTGCTGAATGCGCGTGTGTGTGTGTCCGCGCGCGCGTGCGCGCGCACGTAGCATGGACACAACAGCACAAGCCTTTCTAGGACGGCTCGCGCGGTATGCAGGTATCCAAGGTCAAAGCCTGGGGAAAATTCAAGGACCCCAGTTCTGTCCCTCTCAACCAGTTACACTGAGTATCAAAAGGCCCTGCACGTCCAGGGTTGGGGTGGGAATCTACCAGGTCCTCTGGCACCGGAGGCAGTAACAACACTGTCTACGTCAAGGTTTCGCAACCTTGGCACCACCGACATTTGGAGCCAAATAATTCTTCGGGGGGCGGGGAGTTGGGGCTGTTCTGTGCACCTGCAGGATGTGTAACAGCGTCCCTGTCGCTCCAGCCACTAGACGCCGGTAGCACACAGCCCTCAGCCCCAAGCAAGGCCATCAAAAATGTCTCTAGAGATTTCCAAGTGGCCTCTAGGGGATAAAACCACCTTCCTGAGAACCACTGGCCCAGAGGAAGCAGCTGATCTCCCACAGCACAGTCATAACTGCAAAGGCTGCTCTGAGCACCGCGACGTGGGCAGGGAAGACAGGGGCCCTGGGACCCAGGGCCGAAAAGGAGACCCTCCAGGAAACAGGGGAGCAGGGACTCCTGAAAAGCTGTCGCTGGAGAAGACACTTCCCCTCAGACGGTGCTGGCCTCAGTGGTGAGAAGAATTAGTCAGAAGTCAAAAGGCCACCCTTCCGGAACTTGCCAGGGAAGACCTACTCTTCATCTAAATTTGACTCAAGGATGGCTTCCAAAGACTGTGGGAGTGTCTCTTAATGAGCCTACGTCACATCTCTGCTTCCTGAAGGCAAAGTCTGGTCTTTTCTCCCAGGATGTGGCAAGGCAGAGGGAGGAAAAGCCACTTCCATTTCCTGCTTAGTGTTCTACCTGCTCCTTGCCCAGCCCCCAAAAAAGTCCCTAGAAAATTTCATTCAAAAAAGAAATTCACAAAATTAAAAACTGTAAAAAAGCAAAGTCGGCAGGCTCTGCTGTATAAAAAAGAGAAAAAGAACAGTCTGGATGAGAGAAAGAAGGAATAAAATGTGTGAAGAAGAGATGGGATGTGTGAGCTAAGAGCTTTATAAAACAAAATTTGTAAAGTCTGTATATTCTCCTACACACACACACACCCACACACCAAAATAAGCCCATAACTAAACTCCACATAAGGGCCCACCGTAGGACTCCTTCATCAGTGTTCTCTCACTGCACTTTTTTCCCTTTTTTTAAAAGAAATAACAAAAATTTTTTAAAGCCTCCTCAGATAAGTCCAACACATCAAAAACTGTTTTTCATAAAGATGAGAAGAAGCTCAAGGCACTATGTCTCTTTGGGATATGGAAAGAGTATATTGCAGTTAAAAACCAAATATAAAACTTTCTTTGCAAAAGAAAGAAAAAAAGTTCTTTTGATCTCCTTGAATGCAGCACACAGAAAAAGTGACGGTTCCCCCAGGCCTCCCCAGGAATGGAGGAAGAAGCAGAGGGCAGGAGTGCAGAGATTTCTTTTCTCCAGGCGCAGGCCTGTGAAAAGCGCTGCCCAAGTGTTAGTCCTTAGCAGGGCCCTCCGCGGGTCTGTATCCCGTCAGCCCTCTGGAGTTCGGGAGCATCAGCCTCTCCGATGATTCAGGCGTCCAGGCGCATCTCAGACACGATGCAGGTTCGCTTCCAGACCACTGCAAGAAAGCAAATACCACAACAGAGCAAGTCAGATGAAATTTCTGGTTTCCCAGTGCATATAAAAAGTATGTTTACACTACGCTGTAGCCTACTAGGTGTGCAATAGCAGGTCTCAAAAAATAATAGGCAGACCTTAATTCAAAAATACTTTATTGTTAAAACTGTTAACTATCACCTGAGCTTTCAGCAAGTCACAGTCACTGATCACAGATTACCATAAAAATGCAATAAAAAACTTGACATATATTTTTTAAGATTGTATTTATTTATTTGAGAAAGAGAGAGGAATACAAGCAGGGGGAGTGGGAGAGGGAGAAGCAGGCTTCCCGCGGAGCAGGGAGCCCGACGCGGGGCTCGATCCCAGGACCCTGGGATCATGACCTGAGCCGGAGGCAGACGCTTAACGACTGAGCCACCCAGGTGCCCCCAAATTTGACCTATTTTGAGAATTACCCAAATGTGACACAGAGACACAAAGCGAGCAAATGCCAGTGGCACTGACAGCCTGGCTTAAAGCAGGGAAAGTAGGGTGGCCACAAACCTGCAATTTGTACCAAAAGAAAAAAAAAAGGCAATATTTGCAGAGCTCAGTAAAGCACGAGAAAAAGAGGGATGACTGTCGCCCGCAAGAGGGGGAGGGGAACCCTAGAGGAGGCGTAAAGCGGGGGGCGGGGGGGGCGCGCTTACCGCTGCTACTTGTTGAACTGGAAGGAGTAGAGCCCGTGGTCTGAGGGCGCCTCCACCGCCACCTGAGTCTGCTGGCCGCCGCTCTCCTGCACCGCAGCCGAGGCCCGAGGGTCAAGCTGGGCGCGCCTGTGGCCCCCCCCCAGAGTGGGGTGTCCTGCCCCCCCTCCCCCTCCCACGCGCACACAGCAGCACCTCCCCGACACACAGCGCACCCTAGCCTCTTGGCGAGACGCGGCTCAGTACGGGCCGGCCTCAACGAGCGCCTCGTTCAAGGGCACGGACAGACGAGGTCCTTCCTTCCTACGCTCACTCACACGCCCAGCAGCTGACCGCGCGCGCGGAATCAGCATCACTGTTAGAGGGAGATCTTTTTTTTTTTCCCCTAAAATGTTGAGTGAGCACAAGCAGGGGGAGCTGCAGGCAGAGGCAGAGGGAGAAGCAGGCCTCGCGCCAGCAGGGAGCCCGATGCGGGGCTCGACCCCAGGACGCCGGGATCACGACCCGAGCTGAAGGCAGTCACCTAACCAACTGAGTCACCCAGGCGCCCTGCTAGGGGAAGATCTTGATCGGGGGCAAACCTCCCTCTGTGCGTTTTCCTACGCGCGATTCCGCGAGACCAGAAAGCTCTTACCTCGGCTGCAACACCGGCGGAAGGCACGGGGGTGTACGGGGCGATGTAAGCTCCTGGCAGCGGGGCGGCCGCCGGCACGTACTAGAATGAAAGCCATCCACAGGCTCAGAGCAGGGAGGGGACTCCTGGCGACATTTAAAGCACCCGGGGAGCTCTAAAAACGACTAATGCCTAGGTTTCATCCCCAGAGAGTGGCATTTAATTGTCCCTTCTCCGGAGCGCTCCAGGGGCTGCTAAGTACACAGGCTTATAGAGACGTGTGCCCCCGGGGCTTCCCTTCCTCCTCCGGCCTGCGCACCACAGTGCAGCAGACCCGCAAGAAACCTGCTGAGCTTCACCCGTTCTTCTGGTCACCATGTTGGGAAGGATTTCTAGGAAATGTGTGTGAGCTCCTGGGTAAACTGCGGCGTAGACAGAAGCACTATTTAGTTTCGTGAGTAGGAATCGGTTAAAAGGGGAGCGGCATGGCGATATTCTGTTTATCTCCTAGTCGGGGTCTGAGCCGTGCCTTCAGTGACACTGAAGTGACTGACACCCTCATTCACAGGCATTTTCCCTGAAGAGCTCTGCACCGGTACCCCCTGCTCAGTCGGAGTCTGAAATCAGAAACAGCCCGCTTGGCTTTACCGTGCCCGTGCTGCTGAGCAAGAGGTGCCCCAGTTGCTGGGTAAGAGGTCCCATCATGGAGGCAGGCTGCAGAGAAATGGGGTGATCCATCCCCGGCGGCAGAACGGAACCCTGGAGGCGGCAACAAAGGACAGGGTTAGCTGGCAGCATCCAACTAAGCCGCAGTGATTCACGCCTACCAGGACCGCTGAGGACAGACATTTAAAAGTCCTGGGAAATGATAGGTGAGTAGTGACCCAGCTGCCCAACAGCAACAGGTGCTCTGCCCGTCAGTGTGGAGGGGTCCTCCTCTTAAGAATAACAAACTGACAGAATTTCAGGTCACACAGCTGCGTTGCACAAGGGACTGAGCCAGAACTCACACCCACATCGTCTATCATCAGATCGCATTGTTTTTCTTTACAGCAAACTCTTTGGCTTTTGCCCACTCCTGAACACTCACTGAAGGCTGCATGAGGTATGACTGGTGATGCATCCACGACGGGTTAGGTGCTTGTAGAGGAGATGTCTGAGTTACTCTCTAAGGCAAACCAAAGAAATAGACAAAAACATTAATTGCCTAGAAACTACTGTTTCTCCCAGTGATCTGATAGTGTTCAGCAAAACCCCAAAAAAGTTGGAGTGCCCCCTCACAAAATAGAAACATTAAGAATAAACTCTTCAAAAACTATTAAAAACTCGCACACGTCAACAAATAACCCGATTCAAAATTGGGCAAAAGATAGGAATAGATACTTCTCTAAGAAGATATACAAATGGCCAATAAGCACACGAGGAAGGCTCAACATCATTAGTCACCAGGGAAATGCAAATCAAAACCGTGATGAGATGCCGCTTCACACCCACCAGGATGGCTGTAATTAAAAGGAGAGAGTAGGGGCGCCTGGGTGGCTCAGTAGGTTAAGTGTCTGACTCTTGATTTCGGCTCAGGTCATGCAGGGTCCTGGGATCCAGCCCTGCATCAGGCTCCTTGCTGGAGATTCTCTCCCTCTGCCTCCCCCTCCCCCCCCAACTCTCTCCCTCTCTCTCTCACATAAATACATCTTAAAAAGAGGGGAGGGGGGCGCCTGGGAGGCTCAGTCGGTTAAGCATCTGCTTTCAGCTCAGATCATGATCCCAGGATCCTGGGATCAAGTCCCGCATTGGGCTCCTTGCTCAGTGGGGAGCCTGCTTCTCCCTCCGTCTGCCATTCCCCCTGCTTGTGCTCGCTCTCCCTCTGACAAATAAATAAAATCTTAAAAAAAAAAGAATAACAAGTGTCATACACTGTGGGCGGGAATGTAAAATGGTGCAGCAGCTCTGGAAAACAGTTTGGCATTTCCTCAAAAAGTTAAACATATTGTTCCTACGTAACCCAGCAAGTCCACGGGGGGTGTATACCCAAGAGAAATTAAAACATGTGTTGACACAAAAATTGTACACAAATATTCAAAGCAGCATTATTCTAATAGCCAAAAGGTAGAAACAACCCGAAAGGCCATCAACTACTAAGTAGAGAACAAACGGGTATAGTCATACAATGGCAGGGGACTGAATCAGTCATAAAGAAGAGTGAAGTACTGCTTACGTGCTATGATATGGATAGACCTCGGAAGCATGCTGAGTGGAAGAAGCCTGGCCCCAAAGACATACACTGCATGCTTCCATTTATACAAAGTATCCAGAGGAGGCAAATCTATAGCCATTGAAAGTATCTCAGTGGTTGCCAGGGGGTATGGGTGAGGGAGAATGGGCAATGACCGCTAACCGGGACAGAGCTTCTTTCAGGGGTAATAAAAATGTTCTGGAATTAGATAATGCTGATAGCTGCATAACTTTGCAAAATATACTTGAAACTACTGACTTGTATACTTTAAGTAGGTGAATTTTATGGTATGTGACTTATCTCAATTTTATGTATCTATTTATTTTAGATTTTATTTATTTATTCGACAGAGAGAGAGAGTACAAGCAGGGGGCGCAGCAGAGGGAGAGGGTGAGAGAGAAGCAGACTGCTGAGCAGGGAGCCCGATGCGGGGCTTAATCCCAGGACCTCAGGATCCTGACCTGAGCCAAAGATCATGAGGCTTAACCAACTGAGCCACCCAGGCACCCCTGAATTATCTCAGTTTTGAAATGAAAAAAAAAGAAAAAGAAAAAGAGCAATGAGAAGCTAGAAATGTATCACAATAAACAAGTAGGTTTATTTCATAAATGTAAAGATTGTTCAAGATCAGAAACTCTATAAACATAAGTCAAAATCGAAGGAAAAAGCCAGAGTGTAATATAAGATGACAAAAAGACATTTGATAAAATCCAGCAGCAATTTATTAAAAAAAAACCCAAAAAACAGTAAAATAGAAAAAAACTACTTACATATTAAAGGCTAGTACCAAAACCTAGCTGTTAACATTAACCTAAACAAAGAAATACTAAAACCACTGCATTTATAATAATTATAATATCTTACAGTAGGGTCAAATACAATTAGATAAGAACACAACTGGCATAAAATTGGAAAGGAAGAGAAAACTATGATTTTTGCACTGATGATACAACTATATACCTAGAACACTTAAGAGACTCAGTAAAAAAAATGCTAGTAGCAATAAGGATTTGGTACATTAGCTGCACACAAGATACATGAACATAAACCAAGTCTTTCTTCAGTGTATCTATAGCATCTAGAAATGCTTATAAAATTATAGAACACTTACAAATATATTCAACAGGAAAAGCATAAGATCTATATAAACAACACTAACATCTTATTGAAGGGCATAAAAAAAGATTTAAAAACATGAAAAGAAATACTACATCTTGGGTGAAAAGAATACTTTTTTGAGAGAGAGAGAGATTAAGAGAAAGCATGAGCAGGGGGAGGGGCAGAGGGAGAAGGAGGCTCCCTGCTCGATGTGGGGCTTGATGTGGGGTTCAAAACCAGGACCCTGGGATCATGACCTGAGTAGAAGGCAGATGCTTAACCGACCGAGCCACCCACGGACCCCGAAAAGAATAGTTCTTAAAAAGTCAATTCCCAGGGCACCTGGGTGGCTCAGTAAATTGAACATCCAACTCTTGGTTTCAGCTCAGGTCATGATCTCAGGGTCGTGGGGTTACCACACTTAGCGTGGAGTCTGCTTGAGATTCTATTTCTCTCTCTCCCTCTGCACCCCCCAACTAAAAGAAATAAATCTCTAAAAAAAGGTCAATTCTCAAAAAAAGGTCAGTTCTCTTAAACTAATACATAAATTTAATGAAATTCCAATTAAAATTGTCAGATTTCCAAAAATTAGATATCATAAACTTTATACAGAAGAGTAAATGCCGGGGCGCCTGAGTGGCTCAGTTGGTTAAGCAACTGCCTTTGGCTCAGGTCATGATCTCAGGATCCTGGGATCGAGCCCCGCATCGGGCTCCCTGCTTGGCAGGAAGCCTGCTTCTCCCTCTCCCACTCCCCCTGCTTGTGTTCCCTCTCTCGCTGTGTCTCTCTCTGTGAAATAAGTAAATAAAATCTTAAAAAAAAAAAAAAAGAAGGAGATCGCACTGCATGGTATCTGCCCTCAGCAGGTCATTCCTGCTGGGTGTTCAAGAGACAGTGCAATAGAAACTCAGTATCTGGCATCGTTGGTTTTCTTGGCTTTGTGCATGTTAAACCTGGTATTTTTATTTCTGCATGGAGCACTGGGTGTTATGCACAAACAATGAATCATGGAACACTACATCTAAAACTAATGATGTAATGTATGGGGATTAACATAAGAATAAAAAAAATAAAAAAAAAGAAGAAGAAGAAGAGTAAATGCCAAAAAAACAGCATAAAGTCTGAAAGAGTAGGGAAAAGGTTTTGTCTTTTATAATATTAGAAGATATTCTGGGGCTCCTGGGTGGCTCAGTTGGTTGGGCAATTGCCTTTGGCTCAGGTCATGATCCTGGAGTCCTGGGATCGAGTCCCGCATTGGGCTCCCTGCTCAGCAGGGAGTCTGCTTCTCCCTCTGACCCTCTCCCCTCTCGTGCTCTCTCTCAGTCTCTCTCAAAAAAATAAATAAAATATTTAAAAAATATATTAGAAGACATTCTGAAAGCCACTGCGATCAAGTCAATGTATCACCAGAGTAAGGACAGACACAGTGAGCCCTGGAAGAGGATCAAGGACACAGAAACAAACCCCAGTATTTATTATAGGTGGCATTTTAACTCACCACTGTTTAATTTTTAATTAATTCACCGTATTAATAATCCATTAATTCAAATATGATTTAATAATTTGGTGCTAGGACAACCGGTTAAAACATTCTGAAAGAATGAAATAAAATGCCTATCTGGTGCCCCATACAAAAATAAATTCCTGATGATTACATATTTAAATTTTACTGTAAAACAATAAAATAAATCTTGGAGACCATATGTATAATATAGGGACTGGGAAGACCTTTTTAATTAAGAAATTCAAAAGCTTTAGTGGAAACACAGACATATTTAACTGTACACAAATTTTAAACTTTTGTGGTTTTTTGTGGTGCAAATGAGTGATTCCCAAAGTATGGTCCCTGGACAGGCAGCAGGGGCAGCAGCAGCATCTGGAAACAGAAATGCAAATTCCTGCCTCCTAGCCTAGTCTTACTGAATCAGAAATTCTCTGTGTGGTGCCCAGTAATTTGGGTTTGATAAGCTTTCCAAGTGATTCTGATAGACAGCTCAAGCTTGAGGACCACAACACAAAGTCAATGGACAAAAATTAAATCTGGAAAAAAATATTTGTAAGAAAGATAACATTCAGAGGATTGATACTTTAATAATATGCAAATGTGGTGGCGCCTGGGTGGCTCAGTCGGTTAGGCGTCTGCCTTCGGCTCAGGTCATGATCCCAGGGTCCTGGGATCGAGGCCCGCAT